GAAGATTATTATTAAATTGTAAACTATTATTACAAGTTATTATTACAAGTTATTATTATTATTATTATTATTATTATTATTATTATTATTATTATTATTATTATTATTACTATTCGTTCAGATTCGGCGGCTATACACTCCGGCAGAAAGTCTTGGTTGTTCTTTCATGTCCAGACGCTGGTATTGTTCCAGGACTAATGTGTTACACTAATATCCAGTTTATCAATCTGGCTTTTTTTTTTTATGCACACCCGACTAGAGCTATTAAATAGCTTGAGTCGGACGTGTTTATATGTTGTAGTTGCCATCTCTATCTGCCGTCCTTTTTTAGGATGAATTTTTTTTTTTTTTTTGAAGCTCCACCCTAGCTCTTGCCAGGGGCCACAATATAGCCCGGCCATAAATATGGCCTAATGGCTTAACGCGGTTTCTGGGACCTCTCCACGGTGATCCTCATCCACACGGTGGCACATTGTGTCATCGGGTGTTTATCGCTTGTGTGATGTCCTGGAGAGGTAGAAAGTCAGTCAGTCAGTCAGTGTTTATATGCAGCCCCCTGATCCCTTTCTCTCGAGCGGATGTGCTCCGGCTTCGACAGAAACGTTGATCCTATCTAAGGTGGTCAGGTAGAAAACATGTCTGAAGAGTGACTACTAAGGTTTAAGGTTTCAACAACGAATTAACATCAAGGCTCAAGGGTAGTAACCCATAAGTGCTTTGTTCTACTTCTAACTAAAGCCTGAATCCAGCGCACGAACTCCGTATACCTGCGGGGATCCTAAAATACTTTTGGTAAATTTTAACTCCAAATTTTGCACGGGCAGCGCCGTTATGTTACTCTTTTTGATTTCCAACTGCAAATGGATATTTTTTTACATGCGCAACAGTACACACCGGCGTATGATCTTACTACCCATTTACCAGGGAAAATTACCAGAAGTCGACGTGAAAAAAAAAATCCCAACCATCACCGGGGCTTGAACCCGAGATCTCTAGCACTCGAGGCCGATGCTATGCCTCGATATCAGGCAGCCCTGGGAATGGCATTACCACAAAAAGATGTTCACACATCTTTACCAGTTCGAGTACTGCTCCTGGTGCTACCACGTGTGGTGATGCACCCCAGCAACCCGCTAGACGAAGATTCACAGCCTTTGTCACAATTTATAGCGGTGTCTATGCGGTGAATGCAAACATCGTCACGATCAACTGACCTGTACCTCTCCACAACCGTCGATCTAAATAACATCTTTCAGTTCGGTTCTGCATTTAAGACAGACAAAATATAGGCAAAGTAAAAAAAAAAAATTACGTAAGGAGCACTTTATATAAAGAACAATAAAACTAATTTTAAAACAATGTTTCTTCTGAAATACAGTGTAATAAAAATGTCCAGAAGTTCGTCAATAATGAGTATAATAGGAATGCAAAACTATACATGCATATAATGAAACACTCCATGTTTCCCATTATCCTCATTCTGAAAAAAAAAAAAAATGTATTGGTTGTATTTCTAAACTTTCTTCGCTTGTTGTCGAACAGTGGCTCTCAACCTTCCTAATGCCGCGACCCTTTAATACAGTTACCTCATGTTGTGGCGACCCCTAAACAATTATTTTCCTTCGTAAGTTTAATGAATATGTGTTTTCCGATGGTCTTATGCGACCCCTGTGAAAGGATCGTTTGAATCCCAAAAAAAGGTAGCGACCGGCAGGTTAGGAACCGCTGCTGTTGAAGATAGAGACGGCGGGTTAAGAGCTGCTGCTGTTGAAGATAGGGACGGCGGGTTCAGAGCTGCTGCTGTTGAAGATAGGGACGGCGGGTTAAGAGCTGCTGCTGTTGAAGATAGGGACGGCGGGTTAAGAGCTGCTGCTGTTGAAGATAGGGACGGCGGGTTAAGAGCTGCTACTGTTGAAGATAGGGACGGCGGGTTAGAAGCTACTGCTGTTGAACATAGGGACGGCGGGTTAAGAGCTGCTGCTGTTGAAGATAGGGACGGCGGGTTAGAAGCTACTGCTGTTGAACATAGGGACGGCGGGTTAAGAGCTGCTGCTGCTGAAGATAGGGACGGCGGGTTAGGAACCGCTGCTGTTGAAGATAGGGACGGCGGGTTAAGAGCTGCTGCTGTTGAAGATAGGGACGGCGGGTTAAGAGCTGCTGCTGTTGAAGATAGGGACGGCGGGTTAGAAGCTACTGCTGTTGAACATAGGGACGGCGGGTTAATAGCTGCTGCTGCTGAAGATAGGGACGGCGGGTTAGAAGCTACTGCTGTTGTAGATTAGGACGGCAGGTTGAGAACTGTTGCTGTTGAAGATAGGGACGGCAGGTTGAGAACTGCTGCTGTTGTAGATAGGGACGGAGCGCTGATAGGAGTGACCCCAGTGCTGTGATGTCGATTTTTAATTCAATATTCAACATTTTATTGCTAGATCCCCTTGTGGGTTCCGGGGCCCTATTGTAGGGAAAACAAGAACAGACCCACTGCCTACCCAAAAGCATGTCGTAAAAGTCGACTTATTGGGAGCTTCCTTCGAAGTCGGAGTGCATCTGCCTGAGAGGCAAGGAACCAGCAGTCTGCATACAAATATTTCCGATTTGTAAAACGGATGCACACGCAAAACTCAGGTTATGGAACAGGACTGCAGTCCAGAAGTGGAGGAACAATTTGAACTCTCCGCGAGAGTTTACAGCTGGTGAACGCCGAGAAGAAGAAGATTTTTAGGCATTTCCGGGGGAATCGTCCGAGATGAAAAGGCGGTGAGGGAGAAAACCCCAACTTTTCAATCTCTCGTGTCGTCGCCTTGAGTAGTGGTGAAGGGCCCCCCCGGGCACAGCTTTCCCAAGACAAGTACGGTTTTTCCTAAATCCAGGTAGAGCTTTGGCTAGATAAGCAAGGTTTTCCTAAACCTGGACATACCATCCCCTAGACAAAAATGTTCTTTCTAAACCCAAGAACATATTTTCCTAGACATGAATGTTGATTAAACATGGCCCATATTTTCATAGATACGCATGCTCCCCTCTTCCACAAACAGGTCCACCCTTCCCTAGACAAGAATGTTCTTGATAAACTTAGGCCCATCTTTTAATAGATAGGCATGCTTCCCATTTCCCCAAGCAGGTCCACCCTTCCCTACACAAGAATGTTCTTGATAAACTCTGGCCCATCTTTTCATAGACAAGCATGCCCCCCTCTCCCCCAAGCAGGTCTACACTTCCCTAGACATGAATGTTCTTCCTAGAGACAGGTACATATTTACCCCCACAAGAATATTCTTTTTAAACTCAGGATATAGAAGTTCTTCTTAAACTCAGGCCCATCTTTCCCCTGACAAAGACTCTTTTTCATTAACTCAGGTTTATCTTTTCTTCGACGAGCCTGTTCTTCCGAAACACGAAAACTAGGCCCCGTATGTCACCAGATCTTAGTGTTACCATCATAGCCATGCGTCTGCCACCTGCACTAGATGTTACCCTCAAGACAGAGACATAACTAATTACCTCCCACAATACCAATCATCTTAACATGCATTTGTTATCTACTCCGTACATGATATTCTTGGTTTAATTCGTGTGCACAGAACCAGTACCTAACTTTATCGGTAGGCAACAGATCAAATGTTCTGGCCATGTAACAAGACTAGCAACAGCCAGGTCACCACAGAATGGTTTATACAGATACAGTGACAACAGAGCCACATGCAGAAGATGGACCGCGGAAATACTGGAAGACACTGAAAAGTACTATATACAAAGCGAACAAAAGGGCCCGTTCCAAAGATCTGTTTCTACCCTGGCGCTGCGAGGCATTCCAGGAGCCTAGTGTAAATGTTTCATTAACCTCTCCTACCAGAAATGCGTCTTTAACCCTTCCTAGCATAACGTGTCTTTGTACATTACTTCATACTCAGGCATTCTTTACTTAACAATTAAAAAAAAACAGAAAGTTAAAAGACAATAGTAAAGGACCTTTTCCCACGACTTCAGATGTACTGAGCAAATAAGTCTTGACACATTTTAAAGACCAAGTGGCATTCAGTGGAAGATGTGGTTAGGATCACGCTGGTCGCCTTTATTTCCCAGGACTTTACCTGCGACCCACTCAAAGCTGGGTTAACCTAGGCGCAAAGTAATTTTCGAAAAAATCTCCGGCTACGTTTGGATTCGAACCCACGAAAATTTAGATCCATCTATCCGCTACACCACGCGGCTGCCATTCAAAAGACAATAGATTCAATTAATGATATTCTTATTTATAGCCAGCTCACTAGACACCACTATCGTAACGTTTCACTAAATTTTGTTCTACAAGACACAGATTTGTATTTCACTAGTTTGTAATGTTCTCCCTAAAATGGAGACCAAAAGAGCAATCTGTTCCCAGTTTTTAAAACAAATGTGTACCGTCTCCTAAATGGAAATTGGCTGCACTGTATCCCTGCTGTCTGTGGAATATTGATTTCGCAATGAGGCCTGAATCTTGTCCACTGTGTGAGTCGTATTTCAGCCTGAAAATTCCTGGAACTTTTGTTATTAAAAATAAACCGTCCTCGGGGAACTAAAACCGCAGTACTATAGGATTATGGCAGTGTTAAATGCATTCATTAAACTCTAAGCCATAGAGCCTCACTAGGCCACCGACACTAAAACCCAACTGATTTTGCACTAGACGTCCATTAGATCATAACACTACATCGATTCGTTAGCTTCTTAACGTTGTTTCACTAAGAGACAGCTATTCCAGGCATGTCACTTAACAGAACATTAATCGTGAACTCGTCGTATGTGAATTAAGTAGACAAAGATCATTCTTGTACTATTCGACAATACACAAAACTTTTTTTTTTTAAACTCTATGCTTTGACTAGACGTCGATATTCTCTCCGGACTCACTCTCCCATGACTTCAACAACGATGTCAAAACGGCAGCTTGGCATCCTTGACCTTCACTGGGCCTTCTTGTTGAAATGGGAAAATTACACTCACTGTCATAATCACTGTCATCGGAACTGTCTGCCTGGTGGTGTTTCTGAATGCCATCCAACAGATGATGCAAGTTGCCGGTGTCTGATGAGTGGGTGAGGCCCGAGCATGAATTTTCTTCCCTGGGTTGAAATCTTTGGGTCAGATAAAGAACCATCAGTGTTAGCAGTTCTTTTTGATTCTGTGAACTCGTTAGAACTGGGTAAAGTCAAAAGTTGATGTTGACCAGTCATAATTTGATACTGACTTTTAGTCTGTAAAACCTGTTCGTTGTCCAGATCTCGTTGAAAAGCTTTTTGTAGGGAACTGTTCGCCGTGATACTAGAGTTGGGTAAAGAAACAACTGACACTTGGTCAGCAATTTCTACATTTTCTACTTCAGACACGACATTTATTTGTGTCGGTTGGTTAGTTTCCTCGTCGTCAACACTTGTATCCATTTTGAAACTTCTAAACGCTTTTTCGAGTTCATTCTCGATACTGTCGGCCAGACTGACGGAACTAGGCACTCGAAAGTAATCGCTGTTGGCCGCACTGCTGTTGCGAGATTTGTTCGTGATAAAAGCTTGAGTGTCGCTGTTGTTTCTTGTTTGTGAGTCTTCCCCAGGGTTTAATGTGTATCCTGTATTTAAAACTCCGTCTGTACCCAGAAACGTCCCCATGCTATGGGTTTCTACGGGTCTCTGGGACAGATCGTTGCAAGAATCGACGATTTTGTTAATGTCATATTCGGTTTGAAATCTTACGTATCCATCTTCAATTATCAGTAACGAATTGGGCCTTGAGCCGAAAATTGGTTGAACAGGATGATCATCCGTGAGTTGATTTTCCAGTAGTTCCTTGGAACTGTTCTCTGTAAAACTCTCCTTATATATTTTGTGAAAGGAGTTCATCACTGGTGTTTTGTGGAAGTGTTTGAAAAACGACCCACGTTTTGGCTTGTTTATACTGGGGCGACAACAACAAATCTCCGAACATGGGGCACACAGAATCCCACAGGAGCAGCTTGCCCCGGACCTCCGGTATCTACGGGGGAGTGAGATGACGTAGATCAGCAGGAAACACATACAAAGCTCGAAGATTCTCAAAGCTGTGTGACACGACCACCATGTCCAGATCCCAGGGAGTCCCGGTGTGAAGAGTTTGTAGACTTCAAGAATGGCGTAGATTTCTAGCCCTGTCACCACCAGTCCACAAACAGCAACACATAACATGACCTTGACCGCCGTGTTTACGGTCAAACTACTGGATTTCTCAGCGGAGTAGGGGGGCGCAATTGCAGGATTGTAGGATTCATCCTTCTGGTATTTGACGGCGTGTAGGTGGAGTTTTCGGAAGATGCACGCGTAACACAGGAAAAGGAAGAGACTCCAGGTGATATAGTAGGCGTGGCACACAAACTGCATGATGTGCATGCCGGGGTAAATACCCACCAGGACGTCTGTGGTCAGCGAGATCATGAAGTGGACAGCGATGACCACAACCAGCACCTGCAACAGAAGTAATCATATAACTAGAGGTTATTGGTGTGGCTTCACAGAGATGGATTAAATACAAACAGATAGTGACGACAAGAATGTCATTATGACTGACCAATGATGATGACAAGGATATTAAGATTATGAAAATGGTGATAATGATCAATGGGGAAAATGATGATTACCAATGACGATGTCGAAGATAAGCCCTGATAATCACTGCGATAATAATGATGACCAGAGATGATAATCACGATGATAAAGACTATGGACACTGATGATAATCAAGATTTGAATGATGAATACCGATGATAACAATCAGGTTGATGACCACTGATGACATTCAAGATGATAATGATCAATGATGACAATCGGGAAGATAATGATGATAATCAATGATGACAATGTTAATGAGCCATCATGACAATACATTATGATAATGATGACGACCAATGATGATAATCAATTGCGATAATGATGAGGGCCAACGATGGTAATGACCAGTGAGTGCCTGGACAAGGATAAAGATGAGGGGCTATCATGTAGAGTTTCCAGTACAATATCCTGATTACTTATTTCGGTTTGAGTTCTTGTGTTCTGATTTTTTTTTAAAAGTTGGAGCTGTTATGCAAATATGATGAAGTAATAACTCATTTTCATTTGTTGCATCACGCTGTCTCAGACATCTTCTGATGTTTGAATCACTGACACGAAAGTATGGTGCTTGAGTAACTACCCAGCCCAGGAAAAGAAAACATTAAAATATATATATATATATATATATATATATGGGAAACTGCGCATTTTTCTTCTTTTACCACTACTTCCTCATCATCGCCTTCCCTTCCTCCCCTTCCCCGCATAAGCCCAGAAAAAAACTCACACCAAACAATGTATAGAATAGCCAAACTATTTCCATTGAATATTTTCTAGTGGTTGAGGTAGGTAGCCTCACTGACGTCAACCCTGCTCATTCGCCTTTTACGGCATTCACTTATGTCATAGCGTTAACATTCCTTTCATACATTATAGACCTGGGTAACATAGGTAGAAATTTTGCACTGAAGAAAATTCAAGTTAATAGGCACAGAAACAAATATTCCTGTTGGCTTGAATTTCAATATTAGAGGCACATCATTCATACAAAGTAACAACAAACAAAAAAGACTCTAACAAAGGTAACAACAGTTCATTGCAAGCGGAAACTCACAAGCCTGTCAATTACTTGACATTTAGCATGCAATAATCGTACATGCCACGGGAAACATGGTCGCCTTTGGAGAAAGAAACAGTGGAAATTTGCCCGGATGCCATTCGAGTATAGAGATCTTATTCTAATAAATGCTAAGACAAGAATTTAAACAATTGTCGGATCTCCAAGGCTAGTATTCAAATCTCTCAAATATTGTCTTCAGCGATTGATAAATAATAAATATTATGTGTTGTCTCCGTCAGTGCCATTTACTAACCAAAAACACTTTTTTGTTGACATGTCTTTGTTTTTCCGATGTAAAGCTCATATTATTTTGTCCAAACGTTATTTGCGTTATACACCATATTCAACTACATGGAGAATGCAAACAAAAACCGTCCGCTGTGGAGGCAGAGGATTGTTTAGGATGATGCCGTCATTTACAGGGACGAGTCTGTCGTTTGACAGGTGAGAAACTTAGGTTTTGACGACTCAGGCTGGAGGAAGATCTGTAAAGGAAGATTTAGATAGACATCGAGCATCTCACTGTGACAGTCATTTAGTAAGCAAAGCAATAAACTGGCTGGAGATACAGACCTTCATTTAAGCATGCTTTGTCGGTGACTCCATGAGTACGTTAAAGAAGTTCAAGGTGGGCCGGGTGAGAAGGCAGGCGTTAGAGTCTCTGAGGCGGTCGAGGGTGGCATAGACCAGTCATATTTTCATGCTAGGTGATGCAGGTGTAAAAGGAAATGAACAAGCCAATAGGATTGCAGATGAGGTTACTGTGGAGGGCGGATGACAAAGACACTATGCATTAAGCCAGAAAAAAAAAAAAAAAACATATCCGAGCAGGTATGAACTGAAGGATTCGATTGGCAATAAGGATGATCTGTTGACTAACTGACTGACTGACATTTTTTTAAAACCCTAAAACACTGATTATGTTGGAGTTATTTTGTTTTATCAATACTTTATAGTTGTATTCTCCTATGGAAAATCAGTTCTATGGTTTTATACTCTGCCCCTCCCCCCCCCCCCCCTTTTTTCCCCCTTTTTCCAATACCCCCACACACACTGTTGCTGTTCGACACAGAAACACATGCTTGGAGTAGATGTTGCACCTATTAAGGTTTCCGTAGGTAATGAACAACTCTGTAACTTCAACATTCATTTTCTTCGAAGGACAACTTTTAAAATTCATCATCCTCATGTGCCGTGCCGATAAACATGAGAGGTAATTGCTCGTCATCTCAAACAATCATTAAGATCAAGTCTTTGCTTCATTCGATTCTCTGTCGGACCATATTTTAGGCACTTTATTTTTAATTTACCCCAAACAAAGGATGCCCGAGTTCCCGGAAAAGTCCAATATTTTAGGGGTAAATGGGTTGTGGGTTAGGGTTATGGTTAGAGTTAGGGTTTGTATTAGGGTTAGTCAGTGTCTCTAAGGCGGTCGGGGCTCACAAAGATCCTAACCCATAACACCCCTATAATATTTGACTTTCCCCTTGAATCTTTTGTTTGGGGCGAACTTAAAATAACGGTTTTTTTTTTTTTTAGCGTTTTCGTCAGAAACCGCATTTTGCTGCAATTATCGTATTTGTCGGTGTGTAGGACGCGCTGTTTTCTTCTCAAGAAAGCCTTAAAATTAGCTGTGTATTATATGTACGGTAATTTCATAGTTAGCCGCGAAATGGACAAAGACGGTAAGCGGCATTCCTTCATCGAGAGTTTTAAACTCCATGTGATACAAAATGCTGAAGAACACGTCAATGTGCCAGCAGAGCGCCATTTCGGGCCTCCACAAACGGAAAACTAAACCTATCAGGTTTTTGAGGACTCAACAGAAGGTTGTGTGCAAAATAAACCTATCAGGTTTTTGAGGTCTCAGCAGGAGGTTGTGTGCAAAATTAACAAAGCAAAGCATGTACAGCTTGGGAAAAGAGCAAAATTGCCGTAATTAGAAATGTTTGTATTGAAATGGTTGCAAGAATTAAATCTGAGTTATTTCTGGAAAATGTATGTCAAATTTTAGGGTGCGTTTTATACAAAGAAGCGTCTTATACACTGACAAATACCGTATTCGTTACTCAAGTTGCTTATAATCTATATTTACTATACAAATGGTACAGGCTCTGTTCAACATTTTAACCCGAGAGTAAACAAACATGCTCACGTTTGCATACTTTGTGTTATTTGAACAGCAAAGACACATTTTAATAGTTTTGGCAAGAACCACCTATACTTGAAGAAAGGGACACATTTCAATACTTACAACAGTCAATCATACCAGATAAACACAAGGACACACAGTTTGAACACACATTACACTTAAAAACAAACCTGCAATTTTTGCACGAAAGGCGGCATCAGGCGCACTTGTGTCGTCTGCAGAAACCAATAGAACAGGCTACTAAATGCCGCGGTCAAACATGGAAAGGTCACGCTATAGAGGAAATGGTTGAGGCTTTCATGGAAGCTACCCCTAGAACCGTAGCCATCGTACAGCAGGTAGAATGATCTGGTGAAGCATACAACCATCAACAGAATGTGCAGCCATATCAAATACCCACTGGGCAGTAAGCAACGAATCCACCAGCATCTCGCCAGACTTAAGAGAGTGTACAAGCCAATCAAACCAAATAATCCACCGAAGACATAGATGTGGATCTCCCAAGCATATGCCCATGTTTGTTTAGCAGCTTCCCAATCTAGTCGTGCCACAGCAGCTGGAAGGGTTGGGCTCACAGCTCCATTATTGTTTGCGATGCTAGAGGTACTCATGTAGATGTCCGATTGATGGGGGGTTGTAGAAGAATGTTTCAGTCTTGGTCCCGGTGTTAGAACTAAACCAGAAGTAGAATTATTTACAGCAGAGCTTACGATACTGGTGTCTGTTACATGGTTATCAGTTTTCTGGTCATGGCTTGTCCTACTTGATGTGTCCATGTAATCGCCATGATACGGGTGAGTTACCAGCGAGTCAGTGAATTGAACGGTATCAATACCATTTGTAGTGGGGTAAGCATCTTTAGAAGTTTGAGAATCCAACATCGGTGTTGTAGTAGATTCGCTGTTTGTATCCATGAAATTGGCATCAGATGTTTGGCTAGTAATTAATCGCTCAGTATGTTTTTCTCTACTAATATCGTCAGCTGTCTTTGGGCTCAAGTCTGGATTTGGTGCCAGAGTAGTCGTGACACTGTCATTAAAACCGTCGCCATGTTTTTGACTTTCTGAACCATGTGACTGAGTAGTCAAGACATTTGTTTTCCAAGTATCATAACTGGACTTCTGACTGGCTGAATTCAAATATCCAGTAGTGACATCCTGGGCATCCAAAGAATCGACACTGGACTGTTGATTGACATCAGCGTTATTTACTCGTGTAGTGAGACCATCCATATTCGCGGAGTTATCATTAATGCTGTTGGCGCTTTTACCTGGTGATGTAGTCGGTCTTTCACGGGGTTGAATACTTGATGTTCCTTGTTGGATACTGGTTATCCTATCAAAGAGGCTGTCTGTTGGTCCTGGACTGTTTGCTGGTTCTGTACTGTTTGTTCCTTCTGGACTTTTTGTTGTTTCCGTGCTTGTTATTTCTGGACGTTTAGTTGTTTCTGTTTTCGTTACCTCTAGATGGGTTGTTGTTAGGCGATTTATTACGTTTATCCCATCTGTGGCCTTCGAGTTGTATATGGCTTCTGTGTTGCTTGTTTTCTCCATTTGTGTTGACTCTGTGCTTTGTGTTTCTAAGCTAGCACGATCAACAGTGGCTAAAGTGGTAACACTGAATTCATCTGTCCAGTTTTCAGCGTCGGATTTATAAATCTTTGAATGCAGCTCTTTGTCACTGTGTGAAGACGTTGGCGTTCTGGAGAAGCTTTTACTTTCCTCAAACACAGAATTCGTAAATGCAATTTCTGATGATTCTGCAGGATTGGAAATGGTCGTGGTAAAAGACATGGTCGTGGTAGGAAAGATGGTCCTTGTTGTGTCGTTCTCGTTTGACGAAAAGATAGGACTAGCCGTGGTAGTGCTATCTTTGGACGATGAAAACTGGGAATAAATATTTATATCGCTTACTGAAGTAGCACTGACAATTTCTTGTGTAACATAATTGGGTGATTGTGTGTCAGGCTCAGCTATCTCCCCTGGACCTGAACTAACTGTCCTGTCTGCTATATTCTCAAGTAAAATATCACCGTAGTTCATCTCATTGGACACTGGTGCATGTGTGTCTGAAACACTTTCATAATTATAGCCAGTTAACCCGTCATCGTCTTGCTTGGCTCCTGTAATGTTTCCCCCACTGCTGACACGCACATCGCTCCCCTTTGTTGGTAACTTATCGTCACTACTTGCTCCACCATCTGTGTCTATCATACCGCCAACTGTTGGTGTTTCTGTGTTATCACTCAACCTATCTCCCACTGGCCTATCCTCATAAACAAATTCTGAATCCGTTGCATTTTGCTCTGCTTTCGTGTCAGGTGCAATGGTTTCCGAACTTCTCAAAACTCGTTTATGCCCTACAAATTTTTCCAGTGATTCTCGCAGCAAGGTCACGTCTTTCATAAACTGTGATACACTCTCATGTTGTCCAGATAAACGATAATTTGTGTATCTATTTCCTCCCAAACGCATGAAGCTATTTATAATTGATTTATTAACAAAACTGGCTTGCACGAACTTTTTATCGTTGTCGGCTGCTAGCATTCCTGGGTAGGTATCTTGAACATTTCGGGAGTCTGTATTCCCACGATATGCTTCTATTTCTGTTATGGGTGCGTTTTTTAATACAAAACTACCATCTGCGCTCATATTCTGCACCTTGTTTCTATTGGCTGGAGCTAAGTGAGCTAAAATATTCGACTGCGTTTCATCGACCTTTTTCCCGGAATCTCTGTGGAAATTTAATGGATCATGTAATGTTCTAGCAATCTCCAGAAATGTTTTTTCTTCACTTGTTCTGTTTGGCGAAACACGTAGCTCAGCCGTGCTGGAAACTGTAGCAACACTAGAACTTAGATTGTCAAGCTGGTCCTCCCTTGCCCTCAGACTGGTCTGTCTATTTAGATCATTAGAAAGGTTTTGAAAAGCTTCCTCAACATTTGATATGTACTCATGTTTAATGCCAAGCCATGGAGGCCTCTTACTCAACACAGATGACATCTTAGCTCGCCAGGCCTTCTCCGTTCTGCCTCGGTCATTTTCATGAAAGCTGGCAGAACAAAGTGCCCAAACAGAGACGGACAGAACACATACGATAAAATGTTCTACTTCTGGCATGCTTCAAGTTGTCTTTCAGAAACTAAGTGCTGACACTTCCGACGTTTGAAAACGCCTTCCTTACACTTGCGACGTTTTGAATTTGCCTGTCTCACACTTGCGACGTTTGAATGCGACTGTCTCACACAAACACACACACTCAGGTGTTGTGTTAGCACACTAGAGACAGGATCGTTTTAATGCGTATTCACTTCAGCAAGACACTCTTTTCAAGTAAAATAATTCACGAATCCCAAAGCAAATGTCATTTTGATATGCACACACTTAACATTAGAACCTGGTTTCAAATTTCAAGGGATCAAGTAAGAATCAAAGAGTTCTTGTTCAAATATTCCAATTTACGAATGAACTAAAAACACATTTTGCTATAATCCATTAGTAATCATGTCGGCTATGGACAATTCTAGCGAGAATTTAACACTCCCTCGACACAGGACTTAAGATGTAACGCGAAAGACGTAGTTTAAAAAAAAATGCGACGTATTTTATCTCCTAGCTAACACGGTCAGTCATTGAGAAGTGTTCACACTTGAGCTCATCGCAGCCATGGTGGGAGAAAAAAACAAACTAAAACGCTGTGAAGTCGTGCACAGTGTAGCAGATTAGTGAACCCACAGTTGACATCCGCCTAGAAATCTTTTTTTACAAGTGAACTCAGTTCTCACCCAGACTTGTGCTGTGCTCGTTCCAGTTTGATCACATTTACCTGCTAGCAATTAGTTCGTGATACACTCGCCATTCTGTGGGCTTAATATTTTACACCGATGTACGGCTAGGGGCGGGTTCAGCTAGTAGCGTCCTGGGTGAGCATGCCCTCACCAACGTGTTTGTTGTTCAACCGTACAGTACACTGTCAGCTACACTTGTCCTCAAGAGTGTCTGTGTGTTTTTCTTCCCGCACAAATAAATCGTTGGTTGGAAACGGGCTGATTAGAATCACTGCAGTAAACGTGCGTGAGAGTTTCTGTGGATAAACAGTTTTCCAAAGGCTCGCAGAGAACTGGGTTCCGTTCCGGAATCCGTCTTTGGGGTTACGAGTGCAGGTGTTTTGGACGTTATCGCTGGAACTACGGAGTTTCGTGCTTTGTGCGACGCTCTCTGCTAGCAAACAATCGCTCAATAAAAATATATTCCCTCACCTTTAAGCACTTTTAAAACTATATTAAATGTTGCTTTTCTTTCGTTTATAGTTCCCCACATTAAATATAACCATTATCCTTCAAGGAAACAAATCGAAATCAATGTGGTGAGCAATAAATTAATGAAAAGATTTCCCTGTTAATGTGGAAAAGGGGATTTTTTTTAAAAACTCCTACCGGTAGTCAATTTGCGCGTTGATCAGTTATACCAATCACTCTGGAAACCACCTTCTACTGGACTGTCGAAACTAAAGATTAAATATCAGTTGGAGCTGATTTCTCGATGTGTCTAACACGTACATGATCCAGACAATGTTGGTGGTTAAAACAATATGTGCAAACGTTAATATGTTAATCTGCTATGCTCCAATGTCACAAAGGTTAACATCGGCACAGTACAATTACTGGCTTTTGCAGGCATATACCAACCAGCTTTCTGATGAAGTATCCGATGTCTGGTATTCACTAATGCACAATGAATAATTTCCGCAGAGCCGAAATAAGTGACCTGAGCAGTGATTAACTGCCAACAATCATACACCGTGTGTTTCTGTGTCTGGAGCAGTCCACGTCGGCAATACGTATGGCATTTCTGGCGTCGTTAGTAATATACAGGAAATGCCGCCATAGTAACTGACGGTAGACTGGTAGGGGTCAATGGTATGTGAACGGATTCATCATCGCCTGCCTTTGTTGCAGCTTGTCTGGTTGTGAACAGCTATCACATAATATATGTTTGCTTGTACCGGGGTCATTACGTCTGTAGAAAAAAATATATATGTATATATAATTGTGACAAGTAGCTTCATACATACGGCAATTTACTATTTAAAAATATTTGTTGTCTTTCATATGTTCTTTTTCTTCTTCTCCTTCTCCTTCTTCTTGTCCTCCTCCTCATCCTTCTTCCTCTTCCTCTTCTTCTTCTTCTTCTTCTTCTTCTTCTTCTTCTTCTTCTTCTTCTTCTTCTTCTTCTTCTTCTTCTTCTTCTTCTTCTTCTTCTTCTTCTTCTTCTTCTTCTTCTTCTTCTTCTTCTTCTTCTTCTTCTTCTTCTTCTTCTTCTTCTTCTTCTTCTTCTTCTTCTTCTTCTTCTTCTTCTTCTCATTCTTCTTCTTCTGCTTTTTCTTCTTCTTCTTCTTCTTCTTCTTCTTCTTCTTCTTCTTCTTCTTCTTCTTCTTCTTCTTCTTCTTCTCATTCTTCTTCTTCTGCGTCCGTTACTAAAGGTATTAGTAACCAAAACTGAATAGTATAAGTCCGTAAAAAAATAAAAAAAATACTGGAAAGAGCAGGTCTACGAAGGCTCAGGTGGCTGGGTCACACCTGGAGAATGGAGGATGGCAGAGTTCCTAAGGA